TGCCCAGGCTGGAGTGCAGTGGCATGATCTTGGCTCACTGCAACCTCATCCTCCCAGGTTCAAGCAATTCTCCTGCCTCAGCCTCCTGAGTAGCTAGGATTATAGGCACATGCCACCACGCTTGGCTACTTTTTGTATTTTTAGTAGAGACAAGGTTTCACCATGTTGGCCAGGCTGGTCTTGAACTCCTGACCTCAGGTAATCTACCCGCCTTGGCCTCCCAAAATGCTAGGATTATAGGCGTGAGCCACAGCTCCAGGCTCAGAATTCCTTTTTTTAGCCCACCTTTTCCTAGTGAAAATAATATAACAACATTACGTGGAAAGCTTGAAAAACAGAAAGAAAGAATCTATAGTCCTACATTCTCCCAGCTGCCAGCATTCATAACAATGTTTGCCGTGCACTTTTCCTTTCTGCATTTTGCATGCAGAGCGTGTTTTAAAGTTGCAATCGGTGTTCATAAAATTCTCGGCTCTTATTTTTTTGTACACAGATACATTGTAATCATTTACGTTGAGGCTACACAACCAGCATTAGTCACCGTTTCAATGGTTATTCGATGCGTGGTGGTGAAAGCACTATAACAAAATTAATCGTCTTCCACGGGTCATTTGGGTTCCTGACACATTTGCTGTCATGAATAATCCCATCATGAATTCTTCCATGCTATAACTTTTTCCTGCTTTAGTAATTTTCTTAGGATAGATGCCCAGAACTGGGATTATTGGGTCAGAGGAAATGAGAATTACTTTGGCTCCTGACACTGCGTCTCAGATGCCTTCTGGAGGTTTGAACAGTGCGTCTGTGCCAGCAGTGCCGGCCAGCGGCTCGGGGATACCTTACTGGCGCTTATTCCAAGAGTCACTGAATGGTGAACATAAAACAGCCCCAGCCCTCAGCCTGCTCTGGAGGGGCTTTGATGTCAGGTCCCATGACATCTGTTGACAGCACCAGCAAAGCAAGTTTCCCTTAAACGCTGTATCCCCTATATTACCTTTCAGCCCCAGAAGAGGTTGTGGACGAGACCCCCAGACCCACAGAACCCAGTACAGAGGCCCCAGAACCCCCTGAGGAGCCACTCCTGGGGGAGCTGACAGTGACAGGAGCCTCCCCTGACTCGCTGAGCCTCTCCTGGACCGTCCCCCAGGGCCGCTTCGACTCCTTCACCGTGCAGTACAAGGACAAGGATGGGCGGCCCCAGGTGGTGCGTGTTGGGGGCGAAGAGACCGAGGTCACCGTGGGGGGCCTGGAGCCCGGGCGCAAGTACAAGATGCACCTGTACGGCCTCCACGAGGGGCGGCGCGTGGGCCCAGTGTCCACCGTGGGTGTCACAGGTGAGTGAGTGTGGGTGGGGCAGGTCAGAAGACAGCCCTAGAAAGTGTGCCCTTCCTCCCATTTTCCTATACATGTTTCTGTTTTGATGGGGCTCACAGTGAAAGGAATATAGCAACATTATGGAAAGGCATGTCATGGAGAGACAGGCTGTGATCCAGCAAAGGAAGGAAAGGAGGGTGAGCATGTGACAGGGAGGACGAGGGCTCAGGCCAGGACCAGGCAGGGACACCTAAGCCAACCTGCCCATGGGTACCCAGGGGACAGCCATGACCTGAGGCCAGGTAGGCCTTAGCTTGGCGACAGCTTTAGAGAAAAGGTGAAGTGTGTCAGATCATCACAGCTGGTGCAAAGGCCAGAGGCTAGAAAGAGCATGACACGAGAGAGGCACTGAGGACTGAGTGGGTGTCTTTTGTAGTGGGTAGATCACCCTGAAGTGTGGGAGCAGAGGAGGGGGCAGCTCACCAGGCCTGGGGTCTCCCAGGAATTAGGAGGTGGTTGCCCAGGTCTGTGCCTGTGTGAAGCTCATCCGTGGGGACTGAAGATGGGGATGGGGAGGCGGGGAGCCTGGAGGCAGGGAGGCCAGTAGGGAGTTGGTGGCCCTGGTGAGAGGTGACAGTGGCCCAAACCAGGATTGGGGGCTGGAAGTGGTGGAGGAAGGTATCCAGGGTAACTCAGGGCAGAGATGCTCTGAGG